ATGTTGTCCTTGTTTTCTACAATAGAAAATTAAAAATGGATTGGGATTCCATTGTTTAAGTTTGTAAAGGTTTTAAAAAGTAACTGTTTGAACATAACACACTTCTACCACACTATGTTCTACATGTTCTATGTTCTACAGGCATAGAATGATATGCTACCCCTAAACGTTTAGATGCACTCTAACAGTCAGTTTGCTGAAATAAGGTAACATTTTTATTTAACTACAAGAAATAAAAATCTATTTGGAAATAATGCTGATCATAAATAAATGTAAGTAATAAACCATAAGGGAGCACAACCTATCAATCCTATTTAAGCGTCACGGTTTTAAAATTACAACCCCAGGCCATATGCGGACCAAGAGAGAACTGAGATTTACTCAAAACAGATTGACTAATGCACCAGATGTACACTTACAGTAACAGGGTGTCTTTTTTTTTTTTTTTATAGAATACAAATAAAACTGTCTTAAAGCAGGGAGGAAAATCAAGTTGATTGTAAGAAATTGATAAAAAAAAAAAAAAATGTTATTAATGTTTGGTTGTGAACACATAATTGAACCTTGTTCACCCTCCCAGATCTTTCAAGTATCAACAACCTTCTCTGCACCTTATTTACAGGCTCAGGTATTTGACTTTAATAATATTATACTCTGGGTCTTAGAATTTTGGCTCAAAAGCTCAGGATTCTGGAAAATGTATAATGCATGTGAGGAAGAAAGGCAACAAGTATTTCGGGGGCCCTGCCTATAAACCCCTGCTATAATATTTTCTGGTGGTTTGTGTTGGAGAAAAAGCAAATATGTACTCAGGTTTATTTGCATCACATTTGTCTATTTAGAGTTGATCCTAAAGCATCTACTTCCTTTTTCATGTCAGTTCGAAGGGGCTACCTTTTGATATTGTTTTATCTGTCTTTTTCCTTAAAATGTTATTTATTTCCATGAAAGGTATCTAAATGTATACAATCTTACAATCTCAAAGCTCCACTCCTGGAAAAAATGCATTTGAGTAAATGCCCTGCTGAGCAGCTCATTAAATGCTATTTGCACTGTTATTTTGGGACATAAATCAAATAAAGTAAAACTAGTAAAACAACAAAAATGTCAAATTCTAAATGTCTCTATAGCTTATACAAATTAAAATGAAAGTGTTTACATACAAGCAATTTTCTTGTAACTCTGAAGAGACTTACCTCACTATTACAACCTCTGCTAGATATTAATGTCATAAACCGGGACAGATGGACCGAGTATTCATCGTGAGTCGGACAATGGGAAGTTTCAAAACGTTAAATAACAGAAAAATAATAAAACAGAACAGAAACACGGGCTGCTAAGGATTAGCAGACCACAGCATCCATAGGAGGCACTGGCACTCTGGATGTGGGAGAAACACGGGTAAGTGACCATGATCATCTGACAGGAGATGATTATTCGAGTGAGTTACTACCTGGTTTAACAGTTCAGTCCATCCTCTCTGAGTAAGGCAGGATCCAGCCGATGGACTGCCAAAGGAGATGCAGCCCAGAGCCTTCCAGAGTGTCCCTGATGCAGCAACCCCAGTGAGCAGGCAGGAGACTAATCCAGGTCAGAGAAATAGTTCAGAACCGGACAGTTCCAAGATCCAGGAGTCTGTAGCCCAACCATGGGTTCCAATCTGAACAGAAATAGAGAGATCTAGGGTTCAAGGAATTATTGGGAGCATGAAGGCAGGTTCAGAGTTCTATGAGTCAGGCAGCATGCTCAGAGAGACAGGCGCCGATGCAGACAGGCAGGCTCAGTGGTAGAGGGGGACATAGACAAGACATGGTATCAGGATAAATGCTGAACTTTAAACTGTTCTCCACCTTGGAGCTAGGCTTACAGGAATTAAAACTGACCTTCAATGCGTTCCGAGCCAAAACCCTGAGGGCTCCCCTGAGAAAGACCAGAACCCGTGAAGCTCCTGCATGCCAAGCCAAAACCCTGTGGGCTCAATGGAGAAGAGCAGGGACACAACCAGGAGACAGGAGACAAACACCAAACCCTCTGAAAGCACTGGCCTCCAAGACTCAGGACATGAACAAGGAACTTAACAAAACTCTTGAAACAAACATAAATAACTGAAACAACAGCATAACACGAATAAACAAAGAATAGGAGAATAATGATCTGGCCCCGATAGCTGGGTTGAGCTGTGTATACAGCAGAGAAAGCAGGTGAATAAGATCAATGATAGTTAGAGAGCGGGGAGGCAACGGCAGGTGAATGAAGTGTGTAATTAGATCCGCTAAAGGGGCTACAATCATAACAATTAAACTGGTTTGCCCAAGTTCTTTATCATTAACAGACTAATTAGCCTGTTCTAATAGCCCAACAACCCCAAAGAATCCCCTATACATAGACATGTGCCAGTATCAGGTTTTGCAGGCCAAAAACGACCTCAGCGACTCCCCATAACTAAGGGGTGGACCTGTTTTTTCGGTTCAATTTGCATGTTTTCTAAGCCATAACAGGGCTTTTTTTTGGGCCACTCTATAAGCCCGATGATACTCCAGACATTTTGAATTGAGAAAGCTTTCTGGATGGGAAGCGAAACGTCTTCAAATTTTGAAAACAATGTCCAGTGGTTTGTTTCTTAATTTTCTTGTAAATAAGAAAGGGATTTCATTCACAGAGAAACATGCCTCTCTCAAGATAGATTAAACTCAGCGAGGAAGAAGCCATTACTGTACTCCAGAAGTTATACTAGACTATTTAAAAATAATTCACAGTCTTTTAAAAGATTACCAAGGGCTGCATCTTGCGGTGTTGACCACTGGCCAGACCAAACAAATCTGGACTTGTTTGATGACGCCAATAATTGTCACCCTTAATCTCTGAAGACATATTCTGTAGTCTGATTAAACATAAAACGAGTTAGTTTGTGAGCCTGAAAGCTCTAACTCAGCTATGAAGTACAAAGGCTCTATAGTATCAACATTATTTGTGGATGTTTTGAATAAATGGGAGACTAGAGCATTGCAAAGCAGATAGAATCTTGAGAAAAGACCAATATATGAAAATATTGAGGGAACATCTGTAAACATCAGCTGGGAAGCTAAAGCTTGGGTACAGATTAGTCTTAAAAGGTAGAATCACTCAAAGCAAAGCAGCAAATTGGATTAAGGACGATTACTTCAATGTTTTGGATTGGCCACCGCAAAGCTTTGATTTCAGGCCCGAATAGAGAGAATTTAAAGGCAGAAACAAGTTACAGCAGATGATTTTCAGAAAGCACAAAATATTTGAAAGCATTCTTCTAAATACTAAAGAAATGCATGTTAACTTTTTAATTTTTTATTGTTAAAAATATATGCATCACTCTAACTTGATAGAAAGTCTTTTGGCCATCCTGCTGACCTAAAACAGGGAAGGTTCAATCTGACTGAATCTCAGACAGAGGTAAAAAGCTATTTGCATTATATGCAAATTTACACATTGTGTCCTTGGCTTTATCTGTAACATAAGTGTCATGATTAGGTAGTGGATGGATGACCCAAAATACAGAGGCAGGGCGGCAGAGTTGATTTTCTTTTGGGTTTAATATAAGGTTAACAGAAAAACAGAGGCAGGAAATCAAAAAATCCAAACAAAAACCAGGATTCCAAATATCCAAAATCCCCAAAATCAAAACATGAAAACAAAGTCAAAACAAACCAGAAACAATTGAGACATCAGGGGGGAATTCAATCTAGGAGAGGAAGGCTCAGAGAGACAGAGTTGGAGGAAGTTAGATGAGGACCCAGCAAGGAAGAACTGAACAGAGAGAGTATTTATAGGAGACTGAAACAAAGAGAGGGCTAATGAGCAGACAGGGAGCAGGTGTGCACAGAGCAGGAGAGGAAAAGCGCTAGGGAAAAAGGAGAACACAAGAGGGCAGCAGAGGGCAACAAATAAAAACCTTGAAAACTGAAAATAACCAGAAAACAAAACAAAATAAGAATTAAACCATTAAGACTATTAAACATGGAGCAAAGTAAAACTGAATACTCAAAAGAAAAGCATAACAGAGCTAGAGCTAGAAGTAACCAAGAATTAACCAGAGAACACAACAAAATAAAAATAAAACTACTAACACTAGAAAACAAGGAGTAAAGCAAAACTGAACACTAAAAAGAAAATATAACAGAACCAAGACTGAGACAGTGGCTGAGAAAAACCCAAGGAACACAACAAAATAAGAATTAAACCATAAAAACCTATAAAACAAAGAGCAAAGCAAAACTGAATATCAAAAGAAAAACATAACAGAAAGAGAAACATAACAATAAGCTTTTGTAGGAATATTTGTGATTATTTTTTTACATTTTAAATTAAACTGATTCCGTCATATTTTGACGTAAGCACGTTGAGACATTGAAACATTGTATTTTAACTCAACTTTATTTTACCATGAGAACCACAGTGGCCAGTTCCAACAGCAGATACACATTAAATCATAGCTCTGAAAATGTCAACGGTATATACTTCCTGAAAGAATGACTCATGTCTTTTTTTTTTCTTTTTTGTATCCTACTTGTTAAGGAGCTCCTGCCATGGCTGTGACTGGCTGCTTCGTCATCCCCCTGCCACACCCTGCTGAGGAGAAAGGACAACCACCTGACCTTCAAGCTCAGCCCAACCTCATTTTCCCTCAGAGGAATCCATAAAACCAAACCTATAATGGGGTCCCTTATGATCTTGGAGATTTTACTCCACTGATTACCTAAATCTGCTTCCATAAATAACAAAATACAACTAATTACTGACAATATTCCTCCTTATTTGTTGGGTGATCTTTAGTGTGAGTTTGTCCTATAAACTGACTCATCAAAACAATGAAAAAAATTAGGAAAATCTAAACCATATGAGATGCGCAGAGAGGAAGGGGATGTGGCCCCTCTGCCCACCTTGTGGTCACATGGTGAACTGTAGCTGAGAGTGATGCGGAGGAGAGAGAGAGACAGAGAGAGAGAGAGAAGGAGAGAGCAAAAAGGGAGGGGAGTTTAAACTAAGTGCTATGTTTTGGGACAGGCTAATCTGCTAGCGAGCAGTGTGAGGATCGGAGCGTATTGTGTGAGCCAGTGTGCGGGGGAAAGATAAGGGAGCCAGCCAGCCAGCCAGCCCGACGCACCGCCTGCCTGCCTGCCTTGCTGCCTGCCTTTAATGTGCTGACTCTGGGGAGATTTTAAAAGACAGCGCACTGACTCCTCAGACGCGTGTTTGTGCGTGGAGAAACGCACTCAAACGCCTCCAACAAAACAGCCACATCCAGCCTGAAGTCCATCAGCAGACAGAGGAGCGAAAGAACAACATCAAAAACACTGAGAAACAGGATTGAAATATCACAGCTCCCCTATCAGAAATTAAAGAGGATTTTTTTTCAATATATATATCCTCATTTTTTTCCTCCCAATTGATTTAATTTTTTTTTTCCTTTTCCCGGGACAGAGTGAGTGAAGAAAACAGGAGGGAGCAGGAAAAACTGAAGAGAATCCCCCCTCCCAAAAAAAAAAAAAAAAAATCTAATCAAAGGACAGATCTAGAACCTCATCGCGCAACATGTTTGAAATAAGCCGAACACTCAACGCTGCTTTGTTGAGCAACGAGGTAAAGATATCTGGATTTCTTTTTTGTTTGTTTGTTTGTTTTCCCCTTTATTGTCCACATTTGACCTGTGAATACGTCTGCTGCCACCCATTCAGTCATGTGTGTCGCGTGTGTGTCTTTGCACCCAGAGGATGGGGGTGAGGGAGGTGGGAGGGGGGGGGGTGACTGGTTGGTACAGGGACAGATAAACTGCTTCTCACTCATTCTGCTTTGTAATCATAAACAGGGAGCCTGTGCTTAGACTTAGATCCAAACCCAGGCTGCACATCTCACATTGGCTTGTTTGTGAAATTGCGCAGCTTGGGCTAAAACTGTGTAAGTGCGCACATTCACACACATCTGTGCGAGCGCAAAGTCTCCTGTAATCCCGTCTACTTCCCTCTTTTTATTCCTCCCCTCCCCAAGTTTCTGTGTTTTTTTTTCCTTCCCTCAAGCATTCCCACCAATCTTCCTATACCTGCTGTTATCTGCTCTCCTTCCCGTCTCTCACACCCCTCTTTCCTCTCTTCCCTCCCTTTTTTTTTTTTTTTATCTCTGTGCCTCTCCTCCCCTCTCCTCCCGTATCCGTGTATGAGCGTGTGTGTTCTGTGAGCAGCATCTCAAGATGATGGCGAAGTACGGGCAGCTCTCGGGACTGGCAGCCAGTGGCGTGGGCTCCGTCCCCGAGACGCACGCGCCGCTATTTTCCAGGGATCCCCTGTCATCGCCCGCCCAGATGGGCTACAGGTCACCCCTGGTAAGAGGATAGCAGAAGGACTAATGTATATTTATCTTTTACAAAAAAAAAAAAAAAAAAAAATACTAAAAAAGAAAAAGTAAGTTAGAGTTTGGCTTAAAAAAGAAGAAAAAAAAGTTGGATATGTGTGTTAAAGAAAAAAAAGCAATAGAAAAGAGAGCAAATCAATTGTGGGATTCTGCCCCTATCCCCAGTGGATTGCATTAGCAAATATTTACATTGTTGTGTTTGTTCAATTACGGCCGCCTACACTGTCTTTAGCCTCTGCCAGTCAGCCTGTTATCAGGGGAATTTGAGGTGTTTATGCCTGCATGTATGTGTGAATGAGTGGGTATTATGTAAAACATTTGTTTTCTTTTTTTTTTTTTTTTTTTATTAAATATATCTACACGCACCTGTTTCCCCCCCAAAAAAAGAAACTACAAGTAAAACTACATTTAACAGCAAGTCAGGTAATGGTGTCGGTTAAATTCCCATCAAGTGGTAGGGGATGCAAGAAAATGCTCTGCCATAGTCAACATTACTCTGCACTTTGCGTACAGAAGCAACTTAAAAGGTACTTGAGGGGAAAGAAGGATGAGAAAATCGTAAGCGTTCAGCCAAAAATGAAAACCAAAAAAAATCCTTGCAGGAAAATCCCAGATTGGCTGCATAAGAAGTGACACGAAGCCGTGGGTGTCTAATCTGCTGCAGGCTCTTTATTGTTTCGGGCTCCCCTTCAAACTGGCTCAGATCCACACCCTGGAGCCTCCCGGAAGCCTTCATAACACGCCGCCATGCTGCTGCTGACTACCCAGGGGTTCCCGTCAAGCCTATGCAAATGCGACGGCTGAGGGGAAGCGGTGAAATATCGCCCCTGAATCCTAATATTTGCTTTAAATTCTTTCTGGAGTTCAAGCACATTGGTGGAGGGTGTTATCAGCCTATACACAAAGCCCTGTGCTTCCCACTGCCCGCATAGACCCCATATTATCAGCTGTTTGCATAAAGGTACTGGACCATGAATTGTTTGAAACTAATTAGCTGAATTTAATGCATAAATGCATTTGACATATTAGCTATTTTGATTAATCCTTTCAGCAGCCTATCAGATGAAATTTTCAGTTGAGTGACTAAGCAGGGTAGAGCACCAAGAGCAGATTATACAAAAGTAGGATAACATTAATTCAACGCATTGTTATTAACAACCAGCTATGAGGTTCTAATTATGCATAATTTGGTTTTTGGCAGAGCAAAAGACATAGCATTGGTTTATTTGGAGGATTTATTTAGCTTTATTTTGCAAGCATTTGTGTAAGCGCATTTGTGTATTTGTTTAAAAATGTGCAGAGGGGTGAGCATTTGTGTGTGTGTTTGTGTGGATGATTATTCTGGTTAAAAAAGACCATCGTTAAAGTGATTAATGGTGCCTTCATTAATCACAGCGAGATCATTTGCATACATTAGATAAATGTGCTGGAAGATTCTGGTTGCTTTGGTGTGCAAAGCCTTAAAAGTAGGATTGCATTGTGTTTTAAGGATGAGCAATGTCCTCTAGCACTATCTAAACACTGCTGTGCATCAATGAATATATATACACACACATATATATATATATTTTCGGTTAATTAAACACCTTTTTTTTTTGCTAATTTGCTGATAGTTAAATATTACCCATATCTATTCAACAGTTCAACTAGACATACATAAGTAAACTGTTTTTACCTTCAGTGGTTTGCACGGCACAAACACGCTGCATGTTAGTGTGTGTGCAGCCTTTGAATAAAGCTGTAGGGACGTGGTTTTAAAAGAGCATTCAAAGAATTCATTACAGATGTGATTAAAAGGTAGCAAAAGAAGATTTGCATGTATAATGACATATAAAGTAACACTTCACATTGAGCAATTCCAGATTCAAGGCGATCAAGGTAGTTATATTTAAAGTAGAAGTTAGATTTGTTCATAGAATATGAATTGAAAAAATATAAAATTGCAAAATAATCTACTTTCTTTCTCTGAGAATCGCTTTTTCCCCCCTTTTGGCATAGTGTGCTCCATGCTTCAGGGCTGAATGCTGTTAATTTGAAGAAAGCTCCACTGATTACCCACTGCAGGCAGCTGTCGTTCTCCATGTGACACTAGGCTTTGTTTGACAACTACAATCTTTTGTTTCAATAATTAAAACAAAGGCTTGTTTAAACCCCACAAAAACCCGATCCAAAAAAAAATAAATAAATTGTGAGGTAAAAAATGTCATTTGGCGACACAGACGCTGGCAAACATTTGTCACCACACAATCTCAGCAGCCAGGAGATAGTTAGAGGTCATCTCTATTTCATAACAATAATTAGCTCCTTCCATCTGTGCTACTCGCTGCATTTCCACTTTCCTTGATTGCTGTGTTGTCTATATCCTGGAAATTAGTTCATTTATGCCGTACGACCCTGTTGTCACTGAGGTACAAACAGGTGCAAGCATAGTGAACGGCGGCACTGGAAAGAAAAAGACACTCGGAGACGGAGAAAAACAGAAATGGAGATATGTGCGAATTGCAGGATCAGAAATGATAATCGTAGCCATGAGCACAATGGTGCTTGATTAGCACGGGGCTGGCACGTAAAATAGCAAACGTGGCTTTTGTATGATGTTGTGAAAGATTAGGTGATTGGGGGAAAATTTAAAAGCTGAAAAGTTGTAGTAAATATGCAGAATGTTGTTTTTTTTTTTTGCAGTATTCTGTCAGAAATTATATCCTCCCTTAATACAGTTCTCCGTCCAGCAAAAAGCCTTACAGCTATAGGGTTTCTAAAGGACAAAAAAAGACACACCATATCACATCTATAGCATATCTCCCACTACAGTAGAGCGAGTTATGACCAACCCGCTTCACATTTGAGTTCACATTCAGCATCACATGAACTGGGGCCGTACAGACTGTGTGAGTGCATCGTGTCATGTTTATGGCTGATGTGAGCACATGTGGTGTGTCAGCCACAGGAAATGCACGGACACTCTGGGTCACATTTTCTAGATGTAAGCGTGTGAGTGTGTTGGCGACCAGTGCTGCAGGGAGGGCCTAGTGATCAGCAGCTGAGCCTGCATCCCGCTGGGAGCCATCACTGCAGAACGTAGCAGGTGTCTGCAGGCTCATGTACCCCCCTCATCCACGCACACAAAAACACACCTTTTTCTCCCAGATACTGTACATAAATGCTGCAAGCTGTCTATACATGCTCCCCTTTCATTTCTTTTTAGTTTTGCAAGATGACACTTTACCCCCAGGGGTTGCTTAAGTGTAGCAATTTAATGTACATTTTCATGCTCATCACTCTGTGGGTGATATTATCAAGGTTATGGATGTGATTCATGCTTAGAATGCTGCAAATAAAAGGGGCAAAATGTTGCTTAAATAGGTATTAAATAATGTCAGACTTAGCTAGATGTCCATCCACAACTTAAAACTATAAAAAACTGGTAATGTCTCTTTAGTAAACAAACAATGAATATTGTAATCTGTAAACCAAAGTGTCATATCCACTACCATCAGCCAAAGTAGGACTCAGTCTGCTATAAGTCCGGCGCTGATTTACTGTTTGTTTAAATGTTAGAAAGGATTAACATGGCCAACTTGTAAATATCGCTGTTTATGTAGCAACGGCTTGAGCATCCAAAACATAGCTGTCAATTCTGGCAAGGATTTGTACATTTATATATTTGGAAAATAATAATCTTACCTCCTGCTGCCTGTTTTGTGTTTAAAGGAAGAAGTCTTTTAATTTTAGAGAAACATGTGCAGCCAACTAAGAGCCATATTTTCTCATCTAGCTGTGGTCATTCTATTTCCTTTAAAAGGGGAAGGATGCAGAAAGAATAAGGAAAAAAGATGATACTGGGAAAAAGCATTGTGTTTGAAAATCTTTTAAGATGTTTTATCTGCAAAGAAAACCGGAAAAAAATAATGTTATGACAGAAAAAAATATATCTTTGTGACTGTTTGACACATTTACAGCTACATTTAGATGGTTCTATTCTCTGGATAAAATAGATGTTTGAGGTAAATGCATTAGATCATGCAGCTTTTCCTAATTTATTGTAAAACTGACAATGATTTCAAAGCGCGGCTTTATATCCGTATGCCAACCTTTCAAACCCTAACAAAAGAGGTATTAGTCGGTACGAGCCCTGCACTGACCCGTCTTCGTCTTTGATAATCTCACTCAGATGGCTTCTGCTCAGCTCTCTCCTCCACAGACAAAAAACATCATAATGCAAACACAATCTCCTGTCAAAAAGAAAGTGGCCTCATTAAGTGCTCTTTTTTCCCTCTCTCATAACAGATGCCCTTTTTTTTGTCCTCCCTGAGCAGAATATGCACTACCTTCATTTTAAAAACAGTCATTTGAGAAAAAACCTGCTTTATAAGTTCACAGCTGAGCTCCCTTCGATGCAGCGGCGCTGACAATACTGCCGATAGCTGAGCCATTTTCTGAGTTTGCAGTCGTGATGCGTTGAAGAACAACACTGTTTCATCCCCCTCTTAGAATTGATGGTTTTAAAGCAGGGTTCGTTTTCATTGATTTCCTAATTGCTGGGGATGAGGCAAAGTATCTTCTGTCACCATGAATAAATGATGTAAAGCTGACGTGTGCAATTGTGGGTCACTGTCGAAGTGACTGTAGTCCCCTACCGGTGGCCTCAAAGATTTCCACTACCTGAATCTTGTGTACAAGTTTACAGTGTTGGTCTAAACTGGAGTTTTCAGGTAAAAAAAATGGATTAAATGTACCACATTTTCATGGCATTACACCAAAGGCTTTAGAAAAAAAAAGCTAAAATTGTTAATTTCCAAAAATGTCTTTTAACATAAAAATAACTAAAAATACAAAACAAGCAGCTATAAAAAATGTTTTATTTACTTTAAAATGTTTTTTGTTTTTTTTAGACTCTATCCTTTTTGTTGTTAAGCTCATTGTAGAGTAAAGTACGCTCTTTGAATAGTTGGGTTTTTTTGCTCTGGTAGC